GTCTTGGCTAAAGAGAGATTAAAGTGTAGGTCTAACAAAATTTAAATGTCCTGGAACACCCCCACTAAAAACAAACGTTGAGCAATTAGGAGTTAAAAATATAAATATGAATAGACATGTTTTGTTAATTAAAAATAAAACTATAGCTAGAAGCTAGTCCCCTGGAGTAAAGTCTAAAACCAATGTCCTCAACACTATGATGCATGCCTCAAGAGGTTATACGTAGGGATGAGGCAGAGCTGATCCAGTATCAGTATCATCTCAGATAAACAAACTTTTCACCACTTGTGTTGATAAAGTAAAATCAGGGTTATTATAAAGAATATCCATCCCCCTTTTATCTGAAAAGGATTGTCATTGTGAAACGCGTTGCTGTTGCAGCGCAATGTGACAGGAAACACGGGCAAACTAATGGAGAAAAAAACTACAAATCTCCATCAGTCTCAGCATTCTCTCGAGCCAAACTAACTAACAACCATCTCTTCCTTTCTGACTGAGGCATGAAGTTATTTGTCAAGCACCAAAAATTCTGCAGAAGGAGGTAGAAAAAGACACTAATGTTGAATGAAGTTTGGTGGTGAAAGAAAGTGGAGTGAGTTCTGTGACATCTGTGATGTTTAGCCTGCTTGGATTTTATAGCTGGTGTAGTTTAGTGTGTTTAGCGCTCAGTTTAGTCAGTTTTGGTGTTTGCATCAAAACAATGAGGTGATTTTTCACTGTGAAGCTTCTGTTTGAGGTGGAGGATAAAGGTTTACTAAATTTTACACATTTATGAATATTACTGTTTCTACTTGGTTTCTAACTTATATAAAATCAACAATAATGATAATAATAAATAAATAATGATGACAATAATAATAAAATAAACAGAGCTCTGGTATAGGAATAGTATTGTTTCGGCTGATATTCCAATTCAGGTATCGGATTGGAAGTGAAAACATCTGGGTCGCTGCATCCCTAGTTATAAGTATAATATTTTTGATAAATATGAATTTAGGAGAAGAGAAGCATCATTAAGTTGAATAATGATGTAGCTTTTCCCAGTAAAATTATCAACTGTTGAAAGACTAAAAGAGATCTATGTACATTACAAAGTGATTCTCTAGCTATTTATATTGCTTACAAGCTTTTTGTTTATACTTGTTTAAACTAAATACTGTAGTGTACATAGTAAAAAAAACACTACTCATTTATGAGGTAGCTAGTGTGGGCCGTCAGCCAGCTGCTTATGGAGGCCAATGAAGGTAAGTCATCTGACTTTTATTGCAACAAAAAATTGAAAAGGCAGACACCTATGGCTTGGTTAAAAACGGCAACAGTTTCCAGGATTTCACATCTATGGGACCTCACTTCAAAGAAAATGTTGCCTAGTAAGGTGTTTCTTATCTTATGGTGGTTTAATAAAAAGCCAGTTAAAGGTTTACTATCAAAGGAAACACATGGCTAATTAACTACCTACTATCTACTTATCACACCTCTAATGTTACTTTCTAGAAGGAAAAACAGAGGAGTGCAATTATACTGCAAAATGTGTCATTTCACTCTGACACTGAAAATTATTTTTAATGGCTTGCTAGTTTTATTGTTCATATCTGATTGTGCTATACAGATCCTCATTATAGCATTTTTTTCAAACCAGTAATAGTAGCTGTGTTGGTTGCCAGATGTCCCTGGTTTTAGACATGTAGAGGAGTCGCTATCGGGACATTTGGGAGTATATGAGATTTTATCACGCCATGGTCTTCATCCAGAACAAATTGATATTACATGCATCAAAATACTGACTGGGGCCCTAAATCCTAACAAGCACCAGTGAGACCAACTCAAACATAGGATTGAAAACAGTGATGGACAAAAAATCGCTTTAAAAACTATTTAGTAAAAACTGATCCTGAATRCATCAAAAAGCTTCCTGACTTTATGAATGAAAAATTCATAGCAGTTATTTTAAGGAAGTAGCTAAAGTGGCCATTTACTTTTTTTTTTTTGAAATACCAAAAAGTGTTAGTTCTTAATTTTGTCATTCATTAATATTATTTGTTTCTGTTGACAAATATTAGTACTAAAAAAGCCACAAGTCAATWTGACAACAATTTGATTAAAAAATTGTTCTTGAGAAAAAAAGACTTGTTAAATAATTGTTTAAGCAGATTTTATGCTTTTTTAGTTGATAACCCACGGATAAAAAAACAAGTAATAAATTAAACAACTTCCAAGCTTGTGTTGAACCAATGTTTCAAGTTCTCAGAAGAATAAATTACAAACATAGAGGATTTTACATAAAACTTGTTCCATCACATGACCACACCCAGAGACTGAACAGAAACACACTTGTGCTCTTAAATTTTGGTGTGAAAATAACTCAACAATGTTGTGCTTTATCTTTAAACGCTAAGGGGGTGAGTTGTCAGATGTACAAGTTAATTATAGAATATTTCCACCAGCAGAAGTCATATTATAACTGTACATTTTCAGAAATGGAGCCTTGCACACCAAGAAATCTGGTCACAGTTTTTCAACATTCTAACATTTCTTTCTTTCAGTGAGAGAGTGAAAGAATGAGAAGAGCTGGTGCATAAGGACACACAAAAAAATATAAAGAATATCACTTATTTGTACAATTAAAATGTGGTTGAAAACAACAAAATATTTTTTATGTATTTGCATGGCAAAATGGTTATGCTTTACATGATTTTAGCCTAAAAGGGACATTATTTTTATTTGAAAAGGTATACACATATATAT